GTGAATGACTTCAGAGAAGGTTGCCCTTCATCTTTAGAATTCACAGAACCTAGCATAGTGCAAGGCAGACATTAGGCACTGATATAAAAATTCTCCAAATTAATTCTTTCAGAAGTCCTTACTTTCCTTTTGTTTATATTTTTCCGGACTATAAAGTAATATTTCTCTACTGACTTATATAAAATCCTATAAATTGTCCTAAAGCAAAAGCACAGATTAGCAAAATAGTTTTTTTATTTTTAGTCTTAATCAAGTTAAAATCTGTAACTGGAAAATATCACCTGAATGTCACTTTTCCAAACATGTCTGCCCAAATATACAGGGAGGGCCATTTATGTATATTCTTTTATCAAATACTTGGCTATCTTTAGGCTTTCTTTAACCTGGATTAAATTAGGACATTTACTACTTTAAGCAAATCCTTTAAATCTCTTTTGACACTGAATATTCAGGAATTCTTAGGCTTGGAACTAGGTGAATATACACAATACAGGTGCTCCTGCCAACACCATACTGAGATACCCACCTGGCAAGAAAGGACTCAAAACATCCGCTCTGCAGGTTTCCAGGGGAAGTAAAAAACATAAATCCTTCTGTTTCCACCAGGGGAGGTTTAAAAGTGTGTACTCAAAAATATATGACCAAAAGAGGATAATAGCATTATCCTTTCTTTATAAAGAAAAAAAGTGACCAGTATGAGCCCTAGAGAAAATATATAATAAATATTCACCGTACATCCAACAGTTCAGATTCTGATCCTGCCCACGTGGGAAGTGCACACACACGTGACCAGGGCTGGGGGAGCTGTGGCACAGCAGGAGCGCAGGTGACATGGTTAGGGGAGGCGCCAGACTGGAAGGCAGACCAGATTTCTAGCCCCTTCTGGATCTCACCTCGTCTTAAACCCATCCTCTCCCCCACCAACCCCTAACTGGCTAACTCCTGACAAGCCACTCAACCTATCAGTACTTCAGCTGCTTCATGTTAAAAGGTGGGTAATTCACATAACTTAGGGCAACACACTAGTGCTGGAAGGGAACTTAGAGAAAATCCTTTTGTTTTCAATAGGAGACCACAGGTCCTGGAGTTTAAAGGCTTTCCCCAAAGCCCTGGAGCTAGTTTACTGGCATCTTGAGATGCCTTTAAGTTCAAAGATCTACAAATCTATTTTTCTACTTTGGAAGCAGAAATCTGTGAATCCATGGACATGTTCACAAAATTTTTAGCAGCTTTTTCTCATGACCATGCTAAGTCTACTACCTGGAAATCGATTCCAAAGAGCTCGCCAAGTGAAATTGATCTTAAAAGTCACCCAGGAGTGACTAATGCTTGCTAAGGGAGTGAGCATTAACCTTTTCTCTAACTTTTCCATCTCCCACGGAAGTGTAAAACTTTATCTTGTCTTAGAGGTCAATTATAATTTAGTTGTCTAAGATGTGAATGAAGCAACCTATAATCCTGCCAAAAATACAAGCTAGCAGCAAGTGCTCAACAGTGTAATATTCAGATATTATGCTAGACGACCACCGCCCTAAGTGCTCTGACCTGTGTTAATTCACTGAACTCACACCACAACGCTAAGAGGAAGGTACTATTGCTATTAATATCTTCGTTTAACACACTAGACAGTGTGTGTCTAACAAGTAGAATGCAGGGCACAAGGGACAGCTGTGCACTGGAGTAGGCTGGGGAGGCTTGCTGGAGTCACACTCCACTGCTCTGATTTTAAAACCTCACATCCAGCGCTGCCACTGGGGCTGCACCTCGGTGAGGATCATCAGGTGAGGCGACAGGCCAGACACCAATGAATGAAGAGCATCCTTCCTCATGACCACTGTGGGAGGAGTTAAAACTGATTCCACAGCACACGAGTTATTAAGTACATAGGACCAGGTAAAGAGTTGTAACTGTTGTCACAGAATGACCAGGATGGGAGGAATGAGGGAAAAGATTCCTGATTGGAAACTTAATGTGTGGACTGCAAGGCTCTAAGTACAGGGGTGTTGGGGCGCTGGTATGCGGATGTATCGTAACAAACGTCCAGGTAGCTACTGTGAGAAGGTGTTTGCTGAACTTGACTACAAGGTCATTTTCTGTGCTAGACGTGCTTTTACGGCAGTTTTTAATATGCATATGTAAAGTCCAAAGATAATCAATTGCTTTTCTTCTTCCTAAAAATAAAAGGACCTTGGAATGTTTTCATTCCAATCATCTGCCTCCTACCTTACATGATAAGTGTCACACTTTAGCTTTTAAAAAAATGCTACTGAAATAGACATCGTTATTTTTCTATAAACTGCTGCTGTCTGCTTAGATTTGTCCACGTTTACTCGTATCTTCATTCATCACTTCTTTCTGTACCTCACTGTTCTTCAGAGGCCATTTTCAATTACTTCTTGGTGGTAAATCTTTTTCTATTTAAAAAAATTTGCTTGAAATTTTTAATTATTGTGGGTACATCATGGTTGTGTATCTTTATAGGGTACATGTGTTTTGATATAGGCATACAATGTGAATCAATCAAATCAGGGTAATTGGGGTACCCATCTCAAGCATTTATCATATCTTCA